GTTTTTTTTATTCCTATGACTTTAGTTCATAAATAATCCATTTTCTCAATCGATTCTTACTCGATTTTTCTGCAATTATCGATAAAATTATTAACATCGATTTCGACAGAAAAATATAAGCAATAAGAAAAAAAAGTAATAAACATTGAATTCATTTTTGACCGGATTCCCAAAAGAAGAAGGTACTCAAGTTTATGTTTTTTTTATAATTTCCGATATAAATAAAAAGGCAAAGACAACATAGTCTTGAGCCAGTTTACAAAAAGGGGGGCAAAATTAATCAGTCGATAACACGCGGTTGCGAAATGCACACGCACGTTGCGGATTATCGAAAACCACCAAAAAGGCTATTCAATTATACTGAACGAGGTTATTTTGTGATTGTTTTAAGTGTTTTTCTTTGTAATGTATATTTTGAGGTTATTTTTTCTGTATAGTTATGTGATCTTGAAAAATAATTGAAGGATTTCTGGATACCGGAGGTGAGTAATGTTTCTTTAATTTCAATACTAGTGGTCGCCCGTAACTCCGTCCGCTGATTAAAAAAAACGAATCAATAGTCTATCGATGTTCCGAATTTCATCGAGATCCGTCAAACTGTTCTAGGCAACAAACATCCATACATTCAAACTTTCGCATTTATAATATTAATAAGATTGTGATAAGGCATCGTATTTTCTCATCTGTACTCATAGTCGGTTAATTGAGAGGTTTAGTGCTGATTTAGTATACGTATTCAACTATTTGAGTAACTCTGAGTACTATAGTAACAAAAGGGTAAAACGGGAAAAAAGCACATGACAATTATAACGTTTATGGTATGTTTTATATAATGTTTATGATGTTAACTTCAATTAGAGAAGCCAGTATCAGTTAGCAAACTGAAGATTTATAATAGAATATTTACCGGCAATGTGAAAGAAACTCTAAAGTAAATTGGATAAAGTTCAATTTTGTATATCAATTGTATCTAAGGGATAAATATATGCAATGATTTAATAAATTGTTAGGCGAAAGTGAAAGCGGTAAACGATAGTTTTCCTCGTTTATACGTGCCTTACGTACCTTATGGCGCAGTGGTTAGAGCAACGTACACTTTTGACAAAACTATCGCATGACTGTTTAGTCGCGCTTCCTATGAGCTAATATGGTGGCTTATACTTTTTTAGTTGTGCAACTATAGTGTGTCTTAATAATATATATTAGACATAAATGACGCATATGAAGTATCGCATTCAATTTGTATGAAGGCAAATGCCATACTTAATAGGCAAGTATCGTAGTGACGAAACAAACATGCAGCGAACAATTTTGAACTATCGATATTCGGTTTAAATAATTATCGAACTTAACTAAAATTATTATTTTATTACTCACTCACTTAGAGGACAATTATTAATTACAGTGTAGAGAATTTAGCGATGACAGAAATAGTAGCGAAATCCAATTTACGAGTATTTACTCTCATTATTTGTTATGGTCATTGTTAATTTGAGAAAACAGTGTTTTTTTTTAAATTCATAAGTTATAACTATAAATCTATCGATTCCAACTTCTATAAGAATGGAAATCGAAAATCGATAAGATTCATGACTGATTTTACACAACCCTACTAAATTTGAAATGAATTGTCAAACTAATTTATTATTTCTCTGTATTTACGTTTTAAGAAGCACGTATTTCAAGTAATATTCTATTGGCTGTTTCTAATTAGATCAAGGTAAATAAATGTGAAATGTTCAAGTAATAATTATTGAGGAAGGAAAAGACTGTAGGCAGGAAATTGTTATTTGAAACAATTGACTTGAAATAAAGTATACTTATCATATACAACAAGCAATTATTTTATACACAATAATTATTGAGTTTAAAAACATAATTGGACGGAAATGAGTATTTTGGAAAATAAATTTGAAACGTATTTTTACTTACGACTCAAAAACTTTTATATCTTTATATTAAACGGTAAAATTGCAATACAAATAAAAAACATAATTTTTAATTTAACATTTGTTTATGGCCTTTTTAAAATAATAAAAAAAAACATTCAAAATACTCAAATGTTTAAAATTCGAATAAAATCAACAACAAATGAAATTCCATTCGAAATTTAAACTGGATCTAACATTTGTTTAAATGTAACAGGCCGTTTAAAATGTCTCGTCTCGCTTCATGAATATTTCAATACAAAATTAATGTCCTTTCCTGATCATGTGATTCTATTGTCTGTCACGTGCATTACAATGTCAATCAACATCTAATGCTAGTTTCACACGATAGTGGAACTGAACAGATTAGTATTGCTACTATTTGAACGTACACTTACAGTCAAAATTAGTGATGTCTCCATTATATAGACAAACTCGATTTAGTGGATTACAACGGTTCATTAAAAATGTTACCAGATTCTTGTCATAAAGCTGTTTTGTGTTTTTTTGTTCTCACATAATGTCAGATTTTGTGGGACTAAAATAAGTGTTATAATTTTTTTATTCAAAGTAAAGGTTTATGTCGGTGATTGTACTCGAATTGAAAGCACAAATAGTTATGAACGGTATTCCACTGACCTAATATGGATTTCTTTGAACATTTTGTTCACATCTGTACCGTTATAAAATTCATTGTTAGTGCAATAGTAGGCAATATAGTTGATACTAGCTATTGCCCGCGACTTCGTAAACGCAATATTAAAACAAAAAAAATAACCTATAATATGCCCGCAGACAGACAGACAGAAAGAAATGCGATTTTCGTTATTAGCAACGCTAACATATCATCTTCCCGAAATCTCTATTTTTTCTTTAAAAATTACAAACAGACAATCCAATTTTATTATATGTACAGATTAAAATGTTTCCATTATTTAATGGTTCCTTTATTAGTTTACAAATTAACAACACGTTTATGACATAATAATATGGTAATAGTGATGACCACATATTTGCTTATTAAAAACTTGTCTCCATATTTACTAACGATAATCTTATGTTAACAAAAAAAGGCTAGGTCCTTCAATTAACAGAAATGTCTGACTGGCAGAATTTTGTGCTCATAATTTAAAAAAAAAATCGGTTTTAAAGACTAGTGGCCAATTAGATTCAACTGCACTACAACTATTTACCGTCTACGAAGTCCGTTGTAGTCTTTATTAACAACGAATAAGGTGTATTTTTTATTGCAATAATAGCACATAATCTTTGTTTTTTAACAGCCAGTGTCGCGTGTCTATCCAAGAACCAAATAAGTCGATATTAATTGAAACTTATCATGATTTACGGTGGGTTTCTAAAGTTTCCATTTATTTTGTCACTAGCTATTCCCGTGCGGCTTCATCCGCATTATAAAAACTTTATTTTATTGTTTACATTTGTAAATTATCAATAGCAAATGTCAAAATGACATGACATGACAAACCTTGGCAATCTTGCTTCCTTGATGTTGGCAACAACTTATGGTCTCTTTCCCATGTCAGGGTTTTTATCCAATTTATTTACACCCTAAGTTTAACAGCGTGAAAATATATAGCCTAAAGCGTGACGTAAGAGTACAGGTTTTTATTAAAAGAAGAATTATTCAAAAATATGCTGTTATTGCTGACATCTTACGCAACAAAGAAGTGTGTGTTTACGCTTTATTACAATAGTATACATTACCATCCGATATAGTAAAACAGAAGTGCGGGAGTGCATTTATTGAATTTATCGAAATAATGATTGGCTAAAAATACCTGGGAACCCGGCCATAAGTCGATAAAGATTTATTTGGAACAGAGTTGTCGACTTACTCGTTAACTTGCGCTATAAAAGATCATAAATGTATTAAGTTTTTATTTAATTTGTAGAACATTTTTATCGTTATTTTACACACAAAATAAGTTATTTAATAACTAAGCACTCTTTGGTAATAACATGGAATTTTATAGTTATTTTTGATATCTAGCGACTTAGATTTTACACACCTTTGATTAAACTATCGCACAACTGTTTAGTCGCGCTTTAATTCCTATGAGCTTATATTTACACTTCACGATTTTTAGTTGTGCAACTAAACAGTTGAAGGCTGTAAAACAATCGACAATCGCATAACAGTTGTGCCTTTGTTTAGTCAAAGGTGTGCGCCCGCTTTTATTCTAATTGGTACGTGTATGGTAAACATCAACAGAATAACAATCGATGTATTCGAATCTTAGTATCTTCCCAAAGATCAAAAATTATTTAATGACTAAAGTACTCGTCTGCAGTAATTTAATCTTTGATATTTTACCTCTTGACCCTTTGAAAATCCACTTATTAATGGGTGTTGGTAGATTTTATTATCTTATATTTTATAAATCAGGGTTTCGCAATAATGGTTAATATTTACACCTGTATATCAGACCCGTGCGGGCTCTGCTCTGAGCGAAGTAATATATATAGTATAACAAGAGGCTGCGTCACGCGGAATGGCCGTTGTCATTAAAATTCGGTATAATTATGCTTCGACTACCGCGAAATAACGTATGGTACAAGTTATGAACTTAGATATTTAACTTATTTTATAATTTATGTGAAGTTTCACTACTCTTATATTGAGAGTATTTATTTAAATGTAGTCATGAATATATTTTAAATTTGACTCTGCGAGATATATGTATCTCGTTATGTATTGTTTGAGATCGTTTTTGTCAAATGCTAAAAAAGTTGTACAAATAGGCATCATACTTATTTTTGATGGATATTTGTTACTACGCATCTCCAAAATGGCCTAACAGATTACGTTGAAAATTATTAAATCATTTTTAGAACTTAGTATGGAAGAATACATTCTTTTTTTTAATTGTTTATATGAAAACAATTTTGCATCGATCATGTTAAAGTTGCTTAACATTATCATTTCCATTTGGCCCACGGATGGGAATATCGCTTTCAGATTCCTTATACGCTTTAATGTTATCACTTGTACCACACAACCAGCTGTCTCAATGAATCACTGGACCGTACACGGGCTATCACGTCGCCAGTTTCACTACAACCGTCGCGTTGAAAGGTACCCTGTCAACAAACAATATACGCGCCAAAAGAAAGTGATCGAAAAGTTACCTTTTAAGTGAATTTAAATGTTGTTAGAATTAAACGTTGATTTTATCGATTGTATAATTGTTTAACGAATTAGAAAGTGAGGAAGCGAGTAAACTAATTGCAGCGACTGTTAATGTGCTTGTGCTTGTTTGTGTGAGGAATTATCTGTATTAGGTAAGTTTACTATATGAATTGTTTATTCGAGTTGCAAAGAAAGGACCTCGAAAACGGGTCTGGACTTCTAGATTTCTGGATAGTAGTAGATGAAAGGAACATATTAGTGTATGTGACAATTAAGATCGTCTACACTCTCGCTTTGATTCCTACAAACTTATATGGAGATGCGCATACTGCATTATTTTTAGTTGAACAACTAAACAGTTGAATTACCTGCAAACAATCGACAATCGCACAACTGTTACGCGATAGTTTAGTCATACATATGTTAATCGATTTAAAAAGAAGTTGAATATTTTACGTTATTAAGAAAAAAATAGAAAAATAAACAGGCTATAAGTTACTTAGTTAAAAATTTAGATACCTGCCATATTTATGTGGAATACTCATCAGGTGACTCAAAACTGGTTTTATAAGGAAAAAAAAATACAATTTTACCATCTAATGTAACGAATGCCTGCATGGATGGATGTTTGTTAGTATCTCTAGAACAGCTATATCATCATCATCATCATCACCAGCTCACTATATGTCCCCACCGAGGGGCTCGGAGCCTACCCTAATATGGGGTGACTAGGCCATAGTCAACCACGCTGGCCCACTGATAATGTGAATCTGTACAATTTTATGTAGAACGATGTCCAGGTTTCAGACATAGGTTAATTATTACGTTTTTATTCTGCACGGACGAGGTCGCGGACAAAATGTAGTTATGAAAATGGCTTGTTATGTAGAAGGGCGAAAGGGAAAAGAGTTTCTCGCAAGTAGGTGTTTAATCGAAAGGTTTACCGAGTTTCTTCAAAACGATAGACTCAGGAGTTAACGGAATTTCCTACTATCAGGAAATCCCATGAGTATTTTTACCCGTCAGATTAAATTAAAAAATTATACATATATTTTTCATTGGTTAATACATCAGGATTATAGTGATTGATAGACTAGCTTTCGCCCGCGACTCCGTCCGCGTGGAATTAAAAATATCTAAGTAGCCTATGTGTTCTTCCTGACTATCCTCTACGTCTATGCCAGATTCCATCGAAATCCGTTTAGCCGTTTAGGCTACAAACTCTAACAAACATCCATCCATCCATCTAAACTTTCGCATTTATAATATTAGTATGATTACATCGAGATCCCTTCAGCCGGGTAACAGTAAACTCTAACAATTGTACATCCATCCATCCATGTAAACTTTCGCATTTATTATATTAATAATATTAGTAATATTAAGGATAATATCAAATTATTAACAAAAATCGCAACGTTATGTGTTTGTATTTTTTTTGTCGATTGATCATAATATTTTAAAATATATTTCGGTACCTACGGTGAATGTGCAAAAGCATATAGTCGTCTCGCTCAGTCTCTTTTATTAAACTGAGATAGGAATATGTTTTGTGGAGTTGTTTCGGCAGTCGCAACTGTGAGAAATCCACAATCATTGTTTGAAATAACAGGTTTCTAGCGCGCAATTATCAAACGGAACTTACCTGAATATTTTTCAACAAACCACAAATACGGTTGTATAATAACTACATTTTTTTTATTTATTCATTCAGTTAAAGAATTAACTACCCGCGCCTCGACTACGAATTTAAATAAAACAAAAATAGGTAGTCTGTATGTCCATCTAAAATATGCTATATGTATCAAATTTTATAGAAATTCCTTAAACCGTTCCAGAGATACCTCCTAACAAACATCCATGCATCCAACTTTGAAACTGCCATAAACATTTTTTTAAATGGTTAAGTATATGAAACCGGTTCATCTGTTTGTTTTACTCTGTTTTAACCGTCTTCTTTTAGCATAGAAATAACAATTGAAATATTTTAGCAGCATACAATTCTTTTTAACTCCTTGAGGTCGTGAAGTCGCGAATAAATGTTTCCAAAAAAATACTGACGTGCGAAGCCAGGACTGGCTACTAGTTGAATATGCTTGTACAAGAGACAATTGCCTATTTAAAGATATCAGGCTATTCATATCTTTAAACGGAACAGACTGGGACAAGGGAAGTAAACCATTGAGTCATTGGTAATGACGAATTATTACGACTATTTAAAATGCCAGGGACAGTCAATGATCTTAAATTCACCGGAACTTTGCACCAAGGTATTAAGGAATGTATTTTTAATTTTTTGTTGGATATAAAGAATATGATACTCCCCGTCAGCATCATCAATTCCCCGTCCGTCTATCCGTCTTCTCAGTCACTCCCATCTTAATCACTTGACATGTAAGCTTCAGGTCCTGGATTCGAATCCCCTAATGTAATTTACGACACTACCACACCTAGTCACACATTTTATTTTTTTTAAGAGGGGGAATGCGTTACGCATCCCAGATGCCTTGGGGTAATACACACAGGGGATCTTGGACTCTCTCCACATCCCTGCCCAAATGGGAAGGAACGTGGAGCCTACCCACTAAAACCCCCTCTGGTTCTCTAGACTTCACCGTTCACCGGGGAATGGGCACATGTTAATATTCATGACATAACCCGATGGTGATGGTTGTGGACCACATCAACGATCGTTCAGCTTCTGTTGTGCGCGGGAACCCGTGCGCGCCTTCTCCATCTCTTACAGGATGTGGACCTCCCCTCGTCCTTCACCCGAGACAAAGATCTAGTCATACCTAACTTAAGGTAGGTTCCGATCCCCTTAGTAGCCATTCGAGCTGGTGACAATGATTAAAAAGTGTAGAATATGAGAAAGTATTTTCATTTATAAACTGGTACATCAGTTGTCACATTTGAAATTACAATCTATTAAGTATTTATATTTATTAGTGCCATTTATCTTTCGCAAGTTTACGTAAGCTGTAAGATTTATTACGGTCTTTAGAACAATACCGAATGAAATCACAACAAACAAGATTATTAACAATTCTTAGTATCTATTCAAAGCGACCTGATTGTGAAGGTATTTCTTATTATTCAAAGGTTCAATTCAAATACGATTCATTTTATGATTCACGAATACAGTTTATTCTTTTAAGCTATCGCATTAAGGATTTATTAAATAAGAAACTTATTAGTAGCTCAGGGGTTGAATATTTAGTTGGGAGTCGTGGTGGCAAGCGAAAGCGATCCCGTGGCGTTCCACACAATGGCTAGGAGGGAACAGAGGGGTTTAGTGGGTATGCCCTTTTATAAGAGAATCCTACATAATTCTCGTGCCTACCTCGAGGCACGGAGTATGCATAAAGCATTCCCTTCTGGAAAAAAAGGGGTTGAATATTATATTTAGTCTGCAGGTTTCCTTTCCTCTGTCATGTGTGGCAGATGTAGGACAGCGTTCACTCACCTATTTAAAATCGCTTGCTATTAAAATATTCTGATAACTTTCCTGTCAAATACCAGTCTTAAAAGACCTCTAAAAATGTAAAGTCAAGGAAACTAGTGGTATTTTACCTTAAATTAATCGTTTGAACATTTTGAAAAGAGACGCGGAACAAAAATACAACAAAAATACAGTCCGTTTGCATACTTTTGTGTACTGCTAGTTGATTTTAATATTATCCCTTCGTTTGCACTCACTACTATCTAATTAGATAATAACTAACTATTTGTAGATGCGGAGTTCTTTGCAATGAACAAGACAATTTTTCCTTACGTGGAATATTTAAGATTTCCGCAACTGAACATCTTTTAAAACATAAATAACTGCATATCTCTTGTTAGTATCTCTGACGTATTCGGTACTTATATTCTTTTGTTTGCGGGTTTTCTTGATGACAGATTGCCCAGTCACGAACACAGCCATACGGTCAATACGTGAATAAATTGACGTATAACAATTACATTGTGGTAATATTATATTTGCGAATAATCATCAATATTTACTGACATTAAAGCTGTGCTTTTTTTATATTATGCGGTGGCAAACGAGCAAGCGACCTGAATTCGCCGAGAAAGCGAATTGATCGCTGCCAATATACATCCCCAATTTCAGATGCATTGCCAACCAACGGAGAAGGAGACGCGCATATAGAGGATATTTCCCCTTCATATGCGTCTTCACCGAGAAATCCATTTTCCTTCCCATCCTTTTCTAAGAAAATGATAAGCAGGGACTAAAGTTAAGCTTGCTTAGTTACTTGACAGTGTCTAGGGTGTAAGTTAGCTAGCGTAATATTTTATTTTTGTACAGCTATGATCTGGTGGGTACTATCGCCAGCGTCAAACAACCTTTTCACTTGTCCTAGAACAGGAAGTGGTTCCCTGAGCTGATATCCACTAGTCATGGAGAGGCATTAGTAGAAGTACGTGAAGGTGCTAAGGGGGAATTAAACTTGCCATTGAGATTGCTTGTCTCTTTAGCACGTACCAGTAGCTTATATAGCGGATATTGACCAATTTCACTAGCGTGTATATATGAATATTACAGTACTCAAATTTTATGAACCTTAATTTAAATGTCGGAAGAAACGGATGTTTGAAAAATTTCGTTACTTCATGATAAGAATGATAACTCGTCATATACGCTACGTCTGTGTAAATAGGTCAATCAATCTTATAGTTGCCATGACAAACAATATAAGCTAAGAGAAACAATCTTTTAATTACTGGGGTTTTTTTATAAGTTTATTCAAATGAAAGATAATCTATGTTTACTATTTAATAAAGACGATGGAGATATCAGTGACATTTATATTTGTTTTTAAACGTAAGATAAAAAAGATTTACATTATGTTTGAGTACTTTTTTATGCTAGGTTTCTGAACTTTCGAATTGGCTTTGTCAATCTAGAGATTAATTAGTGTTAGATAAATTCCGACGTAGTAAAACTAAAGATCCAACCACGAGCTGTACCAAATGTATAAAGAGCCAAACATCAACAAGGTCATCAAAATTGGACGACTGCGCTGGGCAGGACATGTTGCCCGCATGGATGATTGCAGAGTTCCTAAACGCCTGTTGGAAAGATCGATCGATCTTAAGAACATCGGCGTCAAGGGCTGGAAGCAAAAGGCCCAAAATAGACAGAAGTGGAGAGGTTTACTGGACCAGGCCCAGGCCCACCCGCGGCTGTAGTGCCTCAGAAGAAGAAGAAGAAGAAGAAAACTAAAGTTACCTAGTTCGGTAACGAATTTTATGAAGTTATCGACACAAAAACATTAACGAATGGTTAAATGTAGCTGAGAAACCGGTCATTCATCTATATGTATTGACTAACCATGAAAATAAAAACCCTTGCTATAGCGGAAAAATATGGAACTAACCTCTTTGCGCAACTGATGTTATATACAAGAATCCGATTGAAGCGTTCTCAAGCCAGGATTTTAATATTTGTGGTAGCAATAAAAGAAGTATAAAAAAAACAAAGTATCAAGTTTGCTCACAAAATGTAACTTCGTGATGAAATAAATTACAAAGTTAACTATACCTAAGTAACATCAAGTGTATAAATACTGTATTTTGTTATGAAAAGTTTTTAAAACTTAAACTGTAACTTGAGGCTTGGACTGCTGTTAGCTAATTCACAACCCTGCTCAAGCTCAGGCTTACTCTTCTTCTTCTTATGGTGCCGTCTCCTAACGAAGGTTAGCAATCATTACAGCGACTTGAAGTTTGGACACAGCTGCTCTAAATCCACTACCACCACCACGTCGTACCACTGGCGAAGATTTTTAAGCCACGATGTTCTTCTCCTTTCTGGACTACTTTTCCCTAGAATCTTACCCTGAATGATAGTCTGTAACAATTCGTATTTCCGTCCACGCAACATATGCCCAAGAAGCTTACTCTAAAAAAGGTTTAGTCCAGAGTCAATCACACTAGCCTATAGGCTACAAACTCTAACTTTCGCATTTTTAATATTAGTTAGATTTGTCAGATAAATGTAGTATCACGATGGATTCCGACACAATAAGTCTTAATGTCCATATCAAATTTGAAATTCGAAAATCAAATAAGTACTCGTATATTGAGGATAGAACCCAGAACCTGTAGATTACAAGTCTAGTAATGCTATGTTTTTTTAATGACTTTAATCTTAAACGAAAGTCCTCGCTCCGAATTATAACAGATTGATCTAAAGGCCGTAATTAGCATACAATAGGTTGATATTTTGTAGCCTCATAGCGTTAGTTAGTACGACAAATAATAACAGTGTTCTTGCCCTTGTCAACACAATCAACTACCTAAACATGATTCTATAATGAAATTTTAGTCTTAATCTCCATAGAAGAATGCCCATGCCTTGCCAGATGATAATGTTTAACAGTGGAGAAGAAATCTGTAACCTTTTTTACGGAAATCGCAAACGAATAAACGCGAAAGACCTGATTAAATTTAACGTAGAGAAGTGTACAAAATTTAACGTAGAAACGTAACAAGCAAGCATCCACCTGAATCCACCGAAATGGAAAGCAACCGCTGCCCATAGACATCTATAGACATTTTAGCAGTAGTAGAGCCCGCTTTAACATCTTCGCACGAATGGGTCAGCTCGCCCGGTGTAATACCACGACCACACAGAAGACAGCCGTGAAGT